TCAGGCTGCGGAGCGCGTCCCGGTGTGCAGATTCGGGCTTCCCGGGGAACGCTGTGAGCATGCTTACACCAGCTTGCTCATGCGCGGCTGTGTGCAGGGGCCCCAGTGCTGAGTTCAGGGGACGACGAACGCACGCTCCAACTGGAGAGAACGTGAGCGCCAGGGCGCTCACGTCCACGGGGGGCGGTTGAGGTGGGCGGCTCCGCGTTCCCTGGGAGACGAGGTGCGCCTGCGCTGGCGGCCGAGTGCGCAGGCGCAGGCTCCAGTCTGCGCCTGCCCAAACCTTGAGGCAACACGCAGCGGCGGTTGAGGTGCCTTCGCGCCGGCGGTTCTTGATACGAGATGCTGGTGTTGATGTTGGTGGCGGCGGCGACCTTGCGGCTCTGCTTGGTGGCCGGAGCTCAGCAGCTGTGCCGGTGGGGCTGCCCTCCCCGGGGAGGGGTGTTGCCCAGGGTCGGGGAGGGGGCCGGCTTGTCCTGGAGCGGAGGCTTCCCAGTTTCTAGTTCTAGGACTCGAACTTGGTGTTGCCCCTTCTTTCTCCCCAACTCCAGCCCTTCACCAAGTCCCTCCACTGCCGCATCGAAGCTTGGGCCCGATTCCCACCCCTTTGGGCCACGTCCGCCGCCACCGCCCCAGGCCGTGCGCTGCTTTCCCTCGCCCGCTCTGGCCGCAGGAGGGATTTGTAAACGAGTCTGATCTCGTCTTTCCCCTGCCCCGATTCTGTGGCACCCAGGATAAAGCCTAAGTTCCTTGCGCGGCCAGCGTTTTCCCGCATGATCTGGCCCAGGCTTTCCTCCACAGCAGCGCTGCTGACATTTGGGGGGCCGTCCTGTACATTGTAAGATGTTGAGCAGCATCCCTGGCCCCCACCCACCGCCGCCGGTAGCGAGCGCTTCCTTCCCCAGGCTTGACAAACAACCAAAAATGTCTCCAGCTACTGCCAAGCGTCCCCTGCAAATTTGAGAACCACTGATGTGGCCCCTGCCCACCCGTGAATCAGTGCTCCAGTCATCTCAAGTCAAACTCCGTCCAGCCTTGGGGACAGGGGAGTTGGTGTTTGCTACTCATTATGCCTGGCACACTTTTGCTTCCATGGCTGGTTCCTCATTCTGATCCTGACTTAAATAGCACCTCTTTTTTTTTTTTTTTTTTTAATGTTTATTTATTTTTGAGACCCACACAGAGCACGAGCAGGGGAGGGGCAGAGAGAGAGGGAGACACCGAATCTGAAGCAGGCCCCAGGCTGTGAGCTATCAACACAGAGCCCAACATGGGGCTGGAACTCCTGAACTGTGAGATCATGACCGGAGCGGAAGTTGGACGCTCTGCTGCCTGAGCTACCCAGGGGCACCCAGCACATCTTATTTAAAGCGCCCCCCCCCCACCGGTTTTTGCTATCAATCACTAACTTCTGTTACTGTTTTGACAAATTTTTTGTCTACTGCTGTCAGTAGAATATCAGCTCCATGAGGGTATTTATCTCACTCCTTACTCAGAACATGTTTAGATTTTGGTTTATGCAAAAAATACTGTTTGCAGGGTGCCACGGAGCTAGTCAGATGTTAAAGCCGAGTTCCTGCCCTCTGGCAAACCCTGCCTGGAGTAAGCTGTTCGGCAGGGCCCTGTCTGCCCATGGAATAGTAGATGTGAGCTTCTGGTGCGTGGCCTAACTTGACCTTTACAACAAAGTCCATGGGGCAGTAATTCCTTAACGTTCAAATAATAATTTTTTTTCAGATTGTTTTTAAATATTTATTTTGGAGAGAGGGAGAGACAGTGCAAGCAGGGAGGGGCAGAGAGGAGGGAGACCCAGAAGTCAAAGCAGGCTCCAGGCTCTGAGCAGTCAGCTCAGAGCCCGATGCGGGACTCGAATGCATGAACCGCAAGGTCATGACCTGAGCCAAAGTTGGAGACTTAACCGACTGAGCCACCCCGGAGCTCCAACCTTGTTTTATAGATGTGAAAACAGACCCAGCAAAATTAAAGACACACTTACCTAAAGACACAAAACCACCAAGTGAAAAGTAGAGGTCTCCAGCAAGTTTTACCGGTGGGATTTGTCTCCACACTTGAAAAGACGGGTTCTGTCCAATTCTCCCATTTCGTCACCCTGGTTCTCCAAGTGTGGTCCTCGACCAGCAGCATCAGCATCACCTGGGAATTTGTTAGAATTCCCTGGATCTACTGAATCGGAGGTGGGGCCCAGCAATCTGTGGTTTATCAAGCCTCCAGGTGCTTTTGGCACACGTCAAGATGCTGTACCAGCATTTTCCAGCCACCAGCACCGTCTCCCTGCCCCTGGCCACAGCCAAAAAAACCCCAAAAACATGGGAGTAGGAGTTCCTAATATGGGGTCTGCAAATGCGCCTTTATGAGCTCTTGGGAATTACGTCCCCATTTTTGTGTATACCTATGTCTGTCTGTGGGAGAGAAAGGCCCACGGTTGCACCAGATTTTCCAGGGGCTCCCGTGACCCTAAAGCATCAGGAACAGGTGCTTTAGAGTTAGCCAAGAGGTACCTTGGTAGGAGTCATGCTGAATAAAAATGACAGATGGTCTCTCTTGTCACTTACCTCTAGTATTCACACGGTGAGGACAGGAAAGGTGTTTCATGTTAGTCAGCAAATTCAAGGGGTATGTGGCTCCATACTTCAGTCTCATTTTTCACTTCCAGAACTAACACTTCCTAGTGTTTCTTGGGTGTCAGTGTTGGGTCAGGCATAGAACACGATCTGATCCCCACCACTGCGCTTTGAAGTAGAGATTCATCTTTCCCGTTGCACTAAAAAACTAGTTGAAAGAGATCAAGTAACATGAAGACAGCCAGGAGGTGGAAGTGGGTTTAGAACTCAGATCACCTGAGTTTTTCTCCAGTTTCATTTAATTTGAACTCTGGAGTAACAGGAAGCAGACTGTTACTTTGCTTAAATAACGCAGTGCAAGAGGGCACTTTTTTTTCACCCTCTGTGCCCTACGATGCACAAAGAATTAGTTCATCAGCTAAAGTGCGTTTCCTCCTGACATGGCATTATTTCAGAAGCGATGTCTGCATTTCTAAATCCTCTCCAAGTTCCTGCTTTCTACCTTGTTAGCTTTATAATTCCTCGTCCTCTGACCTCTCTGTCGAATAACTGATCATATGTATGTAAGTAAGCAGTAACATACATAAGGAATGAGATATGAATCATTAGCCTGTGAATCTCTTTTAACTTTATCTTGACCTAATTATAGATTCACGGCAAGTTGCAAATACAGCACAGAGATGTCTCAGGCTTCCCCTCCCCCACCGCATGACATCTGACGTAACCAGAGTGTGATATAAAAACAGGAAAATTACATCGCGATTATCCACCTACCTCAATTCCGCCTTTACACTTTCAATGTTTTATATTTGGAAGTTGCTTTTCATCGGGTGCTTATTACTGATCTTCAGATTTGTGTGACTGTCTCTCTAGGACCATCTGTATTTTTCATCGGGGACACCACGCTTGATTAAACATCCTTGCAAGAAAAACATAGCCCTGTATCTAGGGTAAGTGACCATTTTATGTCCCGTTACCGTCCTTTCTATTAAAACGTGAGATCTGGGGGCGCCTGGGTGGCTCAGTCGGTTAAGCGTCCGACTTCACCTCAGGTCACGATCTCACGGTCCGTGAGTTCGAGCCCCGCGTCGGGCTCTGGGCTGATGATGGCCCGGAGCCTGGAGCCTGCTTCCGATTCTGTGTCTCCCTCTCTCTCTGACCCTCCCCCGTTCATGCTCTGCCTCTCTCTGTCTCAAAAATAAATAAACGTTAAAAAAAAATTAAAAAAAAAAACAAAAACGTGAGATCTTCCCTCATTCATTCATCCATTCATTCAACAAACGTTACGGAAGATGGCTCTCCGTCCTGTGTTGCTGGTTACTGGTCTGTAGGGAGCTCGGAGTTGGTGTGGGGGCCAAAGGAAGAGAGAGGAAGACACCGGCAAATAAACTAAAATAATGACAACACTGCAGTGCCTCCTGTCAGGGATCCTTGATATGATTAGTCATCACGGGGGCCCGAGCACGCAAAGCAATGGCAACACCGTGACGGCGTAGTCACTCGGGGATCACATGTCCAGCAGCCAGAGGTTCTGGTGAATCCGCTGGGAGAAGAGAAAGGGCGGTCGGAAAGCAGGAGACCTAGAGGCTGAGGAAGGCAGGAGCCAAGGAAGGGAGGGATGTCACGGAGAAGGCAGGGCACGTGGGTGGGGAAAACAGCCAACACAGCAACAGGGCAGAAGGGAGAGGAAGCAAGGACACAGAGGTCCAAGGTTGATGGCACTCTCTCCGGAAGCCAAGACAGACCGAAGAGAGAAGAAAGGTCACCAGAGAGAGAGAGAGGCTGCGTAGTGAGGGAGGCAGAGTCTGGACATGACCGCTGGTGGGAAGGCCTGGCCGAGGGGATGGCCACGGAAGGGGGGAGGGATGGGGCCAGGCCCTGGGCCAAGTGAGGACTCAGCTACTCCTGATAAGATGTGAATTCTGTCCTTTGATTTGCCACTCGTGGCTATCTAAAGTTTCCATCAGCAGCTGAATGGATAAACACAGGGTGAGGCACCCACACACTGGAACGTTATTCAGCTTTAAAAAGGAAGGACATTCTGGGGCACCCAGGTGGCTCAGTGGGTTGAGCCCCCGACTCTCGACTTCAGCTCAGGTCATGATCCCTGGGTTGTGGATTCAGTCCCCTGCATCGGGCTCCACCCTGAGCGTGGAGCCTGTTTAGGATTCTCTCTCTCTCCCTCCGGCCCTTTCTCCGGCTCATGCGCACTCTCTCACTCGCTCTCAAATAAAAAATAAAAATAAAAAAGGGAAGGACATCCTGCCACCATGTGGATGGACCCTGGGGTCACTGTGCAAAGTGACAGAAGCCAGACACAGAAAGACACATCCTGCGCGACCCCACTCGTGAGGGGTCCCTAGAGGAGTCCCGTCCGCAGAGACAGAGAGTGGATGGTGGGAGCCAGGGGTGGGGTAGGGACGGGGAATCAGTGCTTCATGGGGACAGAGTCTCAGTCTGGGGAGATGGAAAGTTCTGGAGACGGATGGCGGGGGCAGCTGCACGACAGTGTGACTGTGCTCAGTGCCACCAAACTGCACCCTAAAGAAATGATGATAATGGTCTATTTTATGTATATTTTATCACCATTAAAATAAGTTTGAAATACAGATTTTATATTGTGTGTATTGTGCTGCCATTAAAAAATTTAAACAAAAAATTTAATTAAAACTAAATACAGTGAAAAAGCCACAAACTAACCACATTTCAAGCACTCAGTGTAGCTGGTGGCAACCGTGTCGGACAGCTTTCCATCATCATGTCTGCTTTAGAGCAGGAGTCACAAACTGTGGCCTCCCAGGCACATTCAGCCTGCCATCTGATTTTGCCGGGCTGGCAAGATAAGAATCGTCTTTGCATTTTTATATGATTGTAAAAAAAAATCAAAAGTAGAATTGTATTTTGTGACGTGAACTGATGTGAAATTCAAAAAAATTTTTTTTTAATGTTTACTTACTTTCGAGAGACAGAGAGACAGAGCGTGAGCCGGGGATAGGCAGAGAGAGAGGGAGACACAGAATCTGAGCTGTCAGCACAGAGCCCAACATGGGGCTCAAACCCACGAACTGTTAGATCGTGACCCGAGCCGACGTCGGACGCTCAACCGACTGAGCCACCCAGGCGCCCCATGAGACGTTCTAATGTTTAATAAAATTATGGAATGTCACGTTTTGCCTATCGTGCTAGTGAGGATGAGGGCAAACGTGGATGAGGCCAAAGTGGGTCCCCCTCCTGTGGGGGACAATTTGGCAGAATCTGTCAAAATGGTCAGCACATGTTCTCAGACACGACGATCCCGTTCCTTGCCAGTTAACCTAAAATTATAACTTGTTGATGTTCCTAGAGCATATGCTTCCTGAGACCTTTGGGTGGAGAACAGGAAGCAGAGAGGGGAGACAGCAGAAGGACACAAGTGAGGGGCTAAGGCTGTGGTCCAGAGACAGACCTGGGAGGCAGCACTGGAGGGAGACAGGGTTAGGAGAACAGGACATGGAATCTAGTGGCTCAGAGGAGGAAGAGTCTTGGGGGTGGCTCCACCCAACAATCCATGATGTTCTTTTCTCCCCCAGTGTTTTATTGGTTTTGATGTCAGCTGGATACTTGCTGAAAGTATCTAACCCTGTAAAAGAAACAATATAAAGGTAAAAATAACAGAGAATCCTATCACTCTCATTCAACTATGTATTGGAGGTCCCAGCCAATGCACTATGACAAGAGAAAAACGTGAAATACAAAACACATTAGAAAGAGACAACATTTTGCCAAATCCAAAGAACTAACCAGCA